AATATTCACCCCCTCCTCCAAATTTAATGAATTAATGGCTCGATCTGTTTGTATTTTTTTTATTCTCCATGCAAGCAACTTTCCGGGTTTTTCTCCCTGATCGTAATCGGATTGTTTTAGCCACATCAAGCTCTTAGCTATTTTTGTACTGGTTAATTCGTTGTATTGGGCTTTTAATACAAGAAGTTCTTTTCGCTTTACAGGGTCATTGTTGCTAAAAAGTTGTTCCTCTGATACCTTAATTTGCTTTTCCAAATTTACTAATTTTGTCTTATATTCTTTTGACCTATATCTCCCCCCTGATATAGGCTTTAAAGGCCTCCCATTTGATTGAAGCACTTGTCTGATTTGTGTTAACTAGAAAGTATAGATCTATTTTGTCCTCCAGGAATTTAACAAAGTCAGGGTCCAGGAGCCAGCTTGCTTGAAAACGAAATCTGGGAGGGGAAGACACAAGATTGTCAATTTGGAGTGTAAAAGTAACCGGGGCATGGTCAGATAATAATATACTGTCGTACCAGCATCTTCCTACTTTTGAAACTAAGCTGTTGGAAATTAAAAAATAATCTATTCTCGAGTATGTTTTGTGTGTGTTTGAGAAGCATGAATATTCTTTTTTACTTGGGTTAAGATACCTCCATATTTCCACTAAATTCAGATCAGTTATATACTTTATGATAATTTTTTTGGATTGTTGATGCGTATTATCTATTCCGGAAGAGCGATCATATATTGGGTTTAACACACAATTAAAATCTCCGCCAATTACATAATTTCCAGGATATGATGATATTGTGAGAAAGAAGTTCTGATAAAAGGAAGGGTCGTCTATATTAGGAGCGTATATACTTACTAGATTAATTTGTGTTGACAAAATCGTACCGTTGAGAACTATGTACCTCCCTAACGGATCTATATGTTGCTGTCTTAACTGAAATGGAACAGACTTGTGTATGAGGATCATGACTCCTCTAACTCGAGAGGTGAAAGAGGCATTGAAAACCTGACCTGGCCATCTCTTTGTGACCCTACTGATATCGTCTTTTATTAAATGTGTTTCCTGTAAGAAAACTACATTTGATCGCATTTGTTTCAGTCTACTTAATACTTGTTTAAGTTTTACTAAGTTATTTAGCCCTCTTGTATTCCAGCTACAGATACTTATCTCTGACTTACTAATCGTTTACTATCTCGTGTTACCATGTAGACATAGCTGTGTCCAAACAAACCATAGAAAAACAAGAAAAATAAAATATAAAAAATAAAATAAAATATTGATTCCACTACAACCCCCCGCCCCCATACATTCCCCCAAACGGAAAGCATGGAAATACCCCCCAATCACCGACTTTGGTTATGAAACACGCTTGATCCATATAACATGGAGCAACCTTTTGCAGGCTCACTATCGTTATTCACCCCTCTGGGCTCGCAAACTAATAAACTGAATAGATAACAAAACTGGACCACTAACATAATTGAGATCACTCCCATAATTCCACCCTCATATAACATGGGCACAACTTAAAATGTGACTTTTTTCAAATTATTCGTAAAGTTGTGTAGGCTACTCACGTAGCTTATTTAAAGAAATGAAACATATTAAACTACACTTAAACAGACAGTAATCTGCTGAGGTAACATTATCCCAGTTCTAATCAAATATGAACATATTGTCACGTGAATTGGACCACTCAGAACTTTACCTTTGTTTAATAAACACGGGAATTAAGTCCTGTTAACAAGTCTCTACTTGCCAATGGCGATTAAGTTGAGGTACGCACTGATCGAATGAAGTCCTCAACCTCCAAGACCGATTTAAAGATGTGGCGCTGATCGGAGTGCGTAACTATCAGATGCGCTGGGTAGAGCATACCATAGGGGATTTCCATGTCTCTAAGTTGGGCTTTCACTCCATCAAACTGGCGTTGTCGCTGCCGCGTCTCGGCTGACAGATCCGGGAACAGGCTGATCCGATGTCCTTCATATCGTAAGTCCTTAATTTTTCTTGCTGCTCTCAAAGCTTTCTCCTTATCCTGAAAGTTAAGGAACTTCATTATTATCGCTCTTGAAGTCCCCGAACGATTTGGGTTGACCTGTCCTACACGGTGAGCTCGCTCGATAACCGGCGCGGAGCTGAACGTGTCGTTTAGAAGCCTGGGGAGCAAGTTTTCAATGAAAGCGGACATATTAGGCCCCTCTGTTTTTTCGGGCAGGCCGACTAATCTCAGGTTTGAACGTCTTCCGCGGTCCTCCAGATCCTGCACTTTGTTTCTTAGAAATTCTGTCGATTCTTCAAGTTTTTTAACTCTGTGTTGAAGGGTTGAGACGTCCTCTTCGGTCTGTGCGATTCTCTCTTCTGCCTCGCCTATTCTTTGGGACTGTGACAGTAAGTCTGATTTTATGCCATTTATAGCATCGAGCATGTCAGAGGATTGTTTCGTAAAGTCAGCTTTCAAAGATTGAATTGCACTGAGGATGTCATCATTTGTAGTCGTATTAGATTCGACCTGTGCCTCAGTTAGCTTTTTGCTTACTAGCTCCACGTTTTCCTCCTCCAACTGAGCAGATGGCTTCGAGTGGTGCCCAGATTTGATGGCTTTTGGTGGCATTTCGTCCCGCTGAACTTATAAGTGATTTCCAAAAACTTTTATACGGGATATGGTGGTCTTTCTAGTAGTTTCTGTGAGTATTTAGTTGCGAGCTTTACTCGTGCGACTGTTCAGCTGCACGTCATAACCGGAAGCCTGAAAACCTTTTAAATGTAGACGGGGAGGCCCAGCCTGCCACCATACAGATATCCTGCAAGGTAATCCCGCTAGACCAAGCCCACGACGAGGCCATGCCTCTTGTGGAGTGCGCTCTAACACCTAAAGGACACTTCAAGCCTTTAGACGTGTATGCCAGCGCTATGGCATCAACTATCCATCTGGATAGGCTCTGTTTCGATGCGGCTAGTCCCTTAGCACGTCCGCTGAACGAAACGAAGAGCTGCTCAGTCTGTCTGAAACCAGACGAGCGAGACACATAAGCTCTTAATGCCCTGACTGGGCAAAGGAAGCTCGCGTCCTTCTCCTCGTTGTAAACCGGCAGGGCAGACAGGGAAATAACCTGAGCCCTGAACGGTGTGTTGAGGGATTTAGGCACGTATCCGTGTCTTGGTTTGAGTATGACTTTCGAGTCATTTGGCCCAAATTCCATACACGTCGTGCTTACTGAAAGCGTTTGTAAATCCCTTATGCGCTTCACTGAAGCAAGAGCCATAAGAAACACTGTCTTGAATGACAGATGTTTCATGTCTGACAAATGGATTGGCTCGAACGGGGCACCTTTCATGGCTTCCAAAACCGTGGAAAGGTCCCACATGGGGACTGAGGGGGGTCTGGGAGGATTCAGCCTCTTAGCTCCCTTAAGGAAGCGGATGACCAGATCGTTCTTCCCCAGTGACTGGCCAGTCGCGGGTTTTGTAAACGCTGCTATGGCTGCCACATAAACTTTGAGCGTGGATGGGGTTCTGCCCTTATCCAGTAGCTCTTGAAGGAAGGAGAGAACTTCCGTCGGTTATCCGTCGGTGAGCGATTCGAGTGAAGCTGCTGGCAGGCGAACCGGCGAGCTTTCACGGGCTGGAGAAGGCTCGGGGACCCGCTGAGTACGCCGTTTTTTACGGCGCGGCACTATAGCGGGCGGAAATGCAGACTCGGAGAAAAATGGCAGGCGAGTCCTCAGAGTCACCATGGCAATAGCTCGCAATGATGGCAGCCGCCGTCAGCGAGCGCGAGAGCCCGTCAGCGGCTTCTTCACTCCGGAAGAGATGAAAAATCAGATTATATCAGCCCATCGAGCTATATTTATAGGCCCAGCCCTGCCCGCTTTGGCGAAGCGCCCCCATTGGATCTGACGTCACCAAGGGCCTCTCTCGATAGGCTGCTGCAGTTGCTGCAGGACAGCCAATAGGCACGCGAGCCGTCTTGCCTATGTCTGCATGCTGCCGCAACGCGTTTTACATTAATTCAAAATTAAGGATAATGCCTTCAATATCTCATGGAAAAGAGGTTTTCCCCTAGCGTACGATATTACGCAGTACGAGAGAACCGATTCATATGAGTCATAGTGCGTGAATCAGAAGGTTATTGATGTTTGTTTTCGCGGGAACCATGCATCGCGCAAGTAGCGCCGCCGCTGAAAAGCAAGGCGGGAAACATTGCAGTGATCTGACACAGCTGTGAAATAGGTAAGTGCAAATTATGGACACCTGTGAACTTTAATTTGAGTTCTTACACTATATATTTCATATTTCTGACTTCACCATCAATCACAGTTTGCGCGACTTAATGAATTGATGATTTAGCCTATGCAAGGAAATTCAATGACAAAACACGAGTATGTTGTGGATTTTTGATTTTGATTTTATTTTCCTTACAAAAGCAAAGGCAGTAAAAAAGGAAACACAGCTTTAGTATATCAATATTGTTTGACAGAAATACAATGCATTTGAAATGTAAGTTTTGTGAAGCAAACGCCACAAAATGAAGTCAGCATTATCTGATGTTTGGGCAAGTTCGATATTGCAGTGGTTCGTCCGAACTTTCTTGTTTAAATGTTGGAGGACAAATGGCCGGTTGTCCTGACAACCCTTACAGCCACACATTCAAAATGTGTGGAGCCAGTTTTCAAAATGTGATGATCGAAACACTGACAGATACACGGCTCTTTAAGGGGGGAAATGTTCGACTTAAAGGTCTAAGACACTTGTGTGTGTTTGTGGAGCGTTTCAGATGTGAAACTAAGACTGATAGTTACAGCACCCTGACTGGAAGTATGCTTAAGTAACACGCGGAAAGATTCATAAACATGCAAACCGTAAAGCGATACAAACGCCTCACATCCTGTCCTAGAAATGATAGGCCTATCATAAGCAGCAAAGAGGCAGCATTAAAAAGGCAAGTTTATCATTGAAATAATAACATATAACTTTTTAAAAATCATGTCAACACACAATATTATGATAATTATGTCTATTTACAATTAATATTTACAATGTACCTTGTTGATCATAATTGCTCATGTTATAAAATAGTTGTAGATAAAATACAAAAGGTACAAAAGAGGTAACTGGTATTTACACTGGTCAATATTGATATGTCTGTTGAAACTGATTATGATATAACTGGCAGGTGAGCTCGTTTGTTTCCATAGCGACAGTTCTGGCACTGCAGAATCTGGCTCACAGTCGTGCTTTTCGATCGAGAAGGCAGAGAGAAGCTGCCAGCAGAACCAGGTGTGATGTGGCTAGTGGATGATGTCATTTATAACTCCATTAGTGTGATCTGGAAGTGGCTGATCATAATTTCAGTGATCTCAATGAGGAAGGCAGAGTGGTTGCTGTAATGCTCGATAATGTTGTCGTCCATGTTCACAAAGATCCTGTGGATAGATAGTAAGAAAGAGAGAGAAAATAAGTTCTAGAAATTATTGTTAAAATTCTGCCCTATAATTTGGCTGTGCTGATAACCAATATATTGGCGATATAAAAATTCTAAACTATTTTAATAAATTAAAACAGAAAAAGCATTTGAAATGCTACAAGTGAAATTAGGCACCACAACATTATAATGCAGAGTATGAAAAATGGATATTCTAAAGATTTTCTAAAGATTCATTTTTTTTTATGAATACACAGTTTTTAATGAATACATATAAGAGAGTGTAATATGACAACAAAGTAATCTAAATGTAAAAACAGCATATTTCATTTACGTATACATTAAAAAACTATAATACTGTAATAATAGTCATAACTGATATATGTTGGTACCATTGTGTATTTTTAGAACCAAACACACACAAACTACATCACTGTAAAAAGTGATCATTTGACTTAAAATAAAGGAAACCCGTTGCCTTAAAACTTTTTCACATAACTTAATTTTTTTCAACACGCATGAAGTTTTATTTAATTTTAATTTTATTTAACAGGTTTGCTCACTTTTTTTAAGTTAAGTCAACTGATACCTTTTTACAGTGATATTTTAGATAAAAAGTTACTTTTCATCGGCACAAAAGCCATAACGCTTTAAATCTGACACCCGGTCATTGACATTTGCACATCACTCCACATTATTTATTTTAGTCATTATTACTGTGTGTGTTGAGCTGTTGAGTGACGTACAGATGAACTGTGCCCTACCGACTGCTGAACGAAACCTTAAGCATTCATGTTCAATCTTCTAAAGCATTCATCATTCCTTCTCTAAGGGCAGACCCTGATTTAGATCCTTAAAAACACAAATCCTTATCTCACGACTTACGCAATCCATTTTTTGGCACAACAGTCGTCTCCACCGGCCAGCATGTATACGATGTTCGGGTGTATGACAAACTAAGAGCGAGGCTGTGCCAGCTCTCCCAGCCCTGAGGGTGGAAGGAGTCTGATTGAAGATTGGGGCGAAAGAACGAGCGAGAATGTGGCTCGACCTGTCCCTATCCCTCAGCCATATCATCAGCTAACGGCCTGAGGAAAGTTGAGCTCCAAGTTACACAGCTCTAGGCTAGGTTGATTAAGACAAAAAGCTTCTTTTTTTTTAAGTCCTGGACATGTTTCTTTGACCTATCTAGGTCAAGCGCTCCTTGAACGCTTCAGCAGGCATGTGAAATACAGCCATATAATTATATGCTTTATTTTAATGCCTTATACTTGATGCACTGAGGTGAGTTATTCCCACACATGTTCTTCAATGGATGAGTGAACAGGTAAGCGCAAATATCTACATGGTGTCATGGGTGATCACCAACCAAAGAGATAAATGCTGTTCTCAGAGCCGGGACTCATTAGTTTGCATGTAGTGTCTCTTACACAACCAGACACCAGCGCCGCCTTCCTATCAGAGCCCTCATCTCTACTGTTTCTCTCTGAGCTTCATACACCACAAAAAAAACACACAGCGCAGTCATATGACTACCTATGTTGAAATCATCTTGTCTTCCTCCTTTTCTTTTGCTTTTAATTCACCGTCTTTTTAAAGGGGAGCAGCAATCATCACATTCCAAACACTATAGATCTCCTGTCAACCCGGTCTGTCGACTTTGCTTCCTGGCAGCTTGTTGAGATGGAGCTCAGATTATAAGAAATGGGTTTAACAGTCGTTCATCTCTACGAAAGAGCGTTTCGACATCCCTCTATCTGTATCCGTGACTTCGTCACAGCTTGTAACAGTCCCCAAACGTTTCGTTTAGCTTTGTCTCACTCACCCTCTTTTGCACTTCTTGAAGATTTTCCCAATGGTGTCTTCTTGCATACCATACTTTTCTGAAATCTGAGAAGGAAGAAATGAGTCATGTCTTAGGTCCAATTCCTCTCAAGGTTCGAAGTGAGATCTTCGCTAAAATGTGTAACGGAAAGAGAGGTTGAAAAACTCACCGCTTCTCTCAGGCCCTTGAGGGTTGGCGTGTTCAACATGAGGGCATCAAATACTTCCTCGGTCTCTCGTCTGACGTAGAGTAAAACTGAAGATAAAATAAAGAATCTACTATCAAAACACTGTGGGACTGTGATTTTTAATCGTGAAACAAAGTGAGACTAAGATTGTTTTGTTATGTTCCCAGGTTACTGCTTTACTAAAATGATCTTGAGTCTTCTGTACCTCTCTGTTGCTCGTCTCGGCGGGCTTGTTTGCTTGGAGGAGAGCTGCTCTGGTCGCCACCGTCTGCGTAGCTGCTGATACGTTTCCGTGATGTCTTGTCCATTTCTTCCAGGCTAACAGGGGGCACCTGGACAATAACAAAGAGATCAAATCAAAGTTGTTAAAATGTCACATGCTGATGATGATAATGATAGCAATATTATCACAGTGACATCTTGAATGCTGCAACAATGCAGAACAAAATGTAGGGTGGTCTCATGATTTCCCAATCCTTTGCTAATATGCTAAAGACGTTAATATGGGCTCTGGCTTCATGTAAAAAGGCCAACTGGTGTTATGAAATGATGTTGAAATCTGGACTGTGGGAAAAAGGCCTGTCGGAACAGTCTCCATCCCTCCTCTCTTAGCCTGTGTAAACACAGCTGAAAAGCATCTCTTCAACACCCTCAGAAGAAGTGTGTGTGTGTGTGTTTGTGCGTGCGTGCGTGTGTTTGAGCTCCCACGGGTTAATCCCTGTGTCAGTCAGCATGGCCGTCCCCATCTCAGGTGAGTTTCGCTCGCTGTCATGTAAACTCTGGAGCGCACCAGTTAGCATGTCTGATCTCGAGATCACTTCCTCTCTTTCTTTTCCAAGCCCACTTCTTTCCCACCACATTTTTTCCCACACTTTTCCCTCTCTCGCTCCCATACTCTCACCCCTCGGGGGGTTGGTGAACATGACTCAACAATGCTGCGGTAAGCCGCATAAGGATGTAGGGAAGAGCATGTGTGTGTATATGTGTGAAAGACAGACGTACCAGGCCACAGCGCTGCATTGTGCTGAAGTGCATCTCTGGGATGAATAAAACAGGTTGTGTGATGTGATCATCTAGAGTTTTAAAGTAGGTAGAGTCCTTTCCAACAGAGCTTGAGACTTGGGACTGTTTGCAACCTGAGGAGAAGAAAAATGTTTCATAAAGGCAAAATTAACGACAATTAGACCCTTGTGGAAAACGCCGCTTGGCTAGTAGCCCACAGGTAATTTAAGCTTGTGAGCCCTCTTTTACACATCATTAGTCACAACATGGACACCAAAACGGGGAAAATTTGCTCTGTATTCTCTTTTATGATTTTGGTAGGCTGGTAATGGGTGTTCCCTGAGAGTCTCAGGCTGTAATTATGTGACTTGACGGCACTCACCATTGTTGCTGGAGTCTGCAACATTTTTGGTCCTCCTCTTGCTCCTCTTCCTCTCCTCGTCTCTCATCTTCCTCTCAGCACCCTGCAAGCATTTAAGAGCAATAAAACATTTAGAATCTGAGCAAATAAAAATTTCTCTGGCATATCAGGACAGTTTGTAAAACCAATAATTCATAATAATAAATAAATAAATAAGAAATAATTTCAACTCTTAAAACACTAACTGCACAGATGCTTGGGGTTTTTAATGAAAACAGAGAAAATAATACAACAAACTTTACAAAGGGTATTACCAGTAAGAAATAACATTTGAAATGTTTTCATTTTTTAACTCTCCTTCCATACTTCTTCCATACTTCTATACATATATATAAAACCCTTCTTATAAACAACTCAGAGTTCATGTCTAATTTAAGTGCCAGCTGTGTAGTAGATATGCATTTGATCCAGCTAGAGAAACCACAGCAATGCAGTAAATGCAATGCACTCTGTTCACCTTCTGCTGCTAAACCAGTCAGACGTGTGTTAAATCTGACCTTCCCATCATGCATTTCCCCCACACAGTCAATCAGCTAATAACTAAGGCCGCCGTGGAACACTCAAACAAGCTTTAAGGAGATGAGGGAGATAGCGCCGTGTGCTGACATTTATCTGATCAGCTCAACAAAAGAAATCAATAGGAATCAGATAGAGGTACCAGACAGAGTAAGGGTCAGAGACATCGAAAGAGTGAAAAGAAAAATGCACAAATATTCAGTGTCTTTTGCTTCAGTGAAAACAGTTATCGCGTAACTAAATCAGAGGTCATACATACACCGCTTTATGACTAAATCAGAGGTCATGCATACACCGCTTTATAAGTAAATAACTCAGTAGGTCATGAGTCAGGACGATGTTTTGTTTTAGAGTTTATGACGCAGCCCAAGATGAGCCAAACAAGCTACAGAAATCCAATGCACACCCTGATAATGAAACTTAATGATCCAAGTTTTAGTTTTCATCAAGACTTGAAATGTATGCGTGCATCTATTCACACTGTTATAAGATTCTCTTTTGGTTTTGCTTCTTATATTTTTCATTTAATAATATAATTATATTTTTATAAATATATTATTAAAATCTAAATATATTTCATAAAGGTTAAACATTTTGTTTTACGTTTTTTCTAAAAAAATAAATGTTACACATAACTGGGTACTGGCTCACCTTATCGCAGAAGATCTTGACCTGACAAACAGCTCTGTGAATAAGACGGTTGTTCCCTGAGCTGAAATCATACGTGTCGATCTGAAGATTCAGAGGAAGACCTTTGACCCCCTTCTGTGAGGAGAAGTCGGTGCTCAGAGAGTTGATGCCAATGTGCACCTGTGAAACACATCAGATACATGAAATCTCAAGAAAGCATTGTTTAATTAGGAAGCTGGATTTGTTACTCAACAACATGACAGTTTATATAGAAAAATAAAAATGCAGAGTAAAAGAACATGCATTGTTTAGTTCATGCGCAGGCCTGTCAAAAAAACCTATGCTTTGACAAAAGGAAGGGTCAGGGATAAGACGCATTAGATGTGTCATATGCAAATATGGCGTGAATGGTTGTTCAATAATTCCAATTCATTTCTAAAGAAAAGGAGTGTCCATATGGAGAACAACATGGCGAGATCCAACATGTTAGAACCGGAGGCAAAACAATAAAAAATAATCATCTTAATAATATGATGATGCATAAACTGAAGGAATAAATGAATGAACAGGTGCCGATGTCCAAAAAATGTGAATTTTCCGATTAACATTTGAAATATTTAAATTCAAATTCTGATTACAAAAAAGGGCTGTTGCCATATTGCTTGGCAACTATAAGCATTCTAACATTAGACTAATGAATTATGATATTTGACAGAAGAATTGTTTATTTAGTTCCAATTATTAGCTAAAGCTATAAATCTTCAAATGACTTTTATCATATTGCTGTAGTTGCGCTTTTATTAAGTCAATAAAAGTGCGTTGCAGTGATTGTGTATTCTTTCTTTATGTCTCTGCTCCACCTGCTGTGAGTTTCGTTGTCCCACCCATCACTACCCTAGGGGCATGCTGAAATGTGCCCTATTTCTCTTTCTCTTCTTTCCTGCTTGCTTCCCTCCCTCCCTCTTTCTTTTTTATTCCCTATAATGACAGGTGCCTAAGGAGGCTGCATACCGTAGATGCCACTGCTCTCTGACACTCCTCTAAATGATCCTCCTTTCAACCCATCACTTCACAAAAACAAGTGACAGGTGGATCTGTGCGTGTTTGTGGTTTTTACCTTTGCTTCTTCATTGGTGTTCCAGATAAAGGACAGCGCGTTGAAAGCAACCTCTTCCAAATTACTAACTCCGCTGAAAACTTCCTTGTAGTCAGCTGAGAGTCAATATAGAAGAATTTATTGAAATAAATTGTATTAAAATAAACACATCAATCAAAACCTTCCACCTTAAATGACATCTGACTTAAAAACCAGTATTGTCTTTTTTTCCAAATAAAATTAATAAAAATGATGAGGTAAACGAAAATATTGTAATTCAACATATCTTTAAAAATCTTTAAATAAATATATCTTATATTATATTATGTAATGTATAAGATATTTTAACTGGAAATCGACAAAATATTAAGAATTGTTTTTGCAGTGTTCTGATATTACGCACCGATATCAATGACTCTTTGTTTGACGGTAGGCTGTCGAGCGTGCCAGTGGTTCCAGTACTTTAGCTGCATCTCAGGACTCTTGTCATTCTCAAACACAGCCATGATCACCGTCTGAAAGAGATAAAGGAAGGAAAAGAAAGCATTATTACAACCTGTTACTTTTGTGGCTTTTTAGAGAGTGGTGACTCCCTGTAGGACAAATACTTGATGTTTTGCTGTTTACCAAGCGATGTCACCACACTAATATTCCTTTCTCTCTGCTTTGTCACTGACCGTAGCAGTGTATGCTTTAAACAAAAGAGCCAATATGTCACACCTTCTTCTTTATCACCTGAGTTTAGAGTCTTACAATATGCAAAGGCATATGAGTTTGGCCTAGTATAGAGTTAAGGAAACTTGCCCTGAATCTTCTTTGCAGTTGCACGTCAAGGTTACTAAGCCACAAAATGTCAAAATACCGTATTTTAAAAGATGCTAAATTATCTACCATCTTTTAACTCTTTCTCTTTGGAGAAAAAAAAAATGTTATATGGCGAGCATGAATTCTGACCTTCATTTCCAACAAATATGCAATTTTAGAAATTCCCAATGTGTGTTTATAAAAGTATAACTTACTTTTACTTTGCTGCATGACACCCCAGCAGTGCTGTCCACTCCCTGCAGCGTGATGGGGTAAAACTGCCCCTTGTTGAGGTACACCATGGGTATTTCTGTAGTTTTGTGCTGGGAAGCTTGTGGGGAGCCAAGAACGAATTGGAAGTCATTCCTTAACAACAACAACAACAACAAAAACTGTCAAATTAAAACATTTCTATGCAACAGCATTGCTCAGTCTTTTACAGAGGCAAAAGAATGAGAAAAAAAACTCTGACTGATTTGTAAAGGCTCAGGCAGCCTGTCTCACCTGTATCTCTCTGGAGAAGAGTTGGGGTAGGAGTATACAGGGCTTGTCTGTCCCACAAAAACATTGCGGTTGCTAAGAGGCTGTTTTTTTAAGAAAACAAACACGTGTCATAAATCGATGGTAATTATAGACGACAAAAGCACCTGTTTTAGGCATTCATGGCATATTTGATGTTGTATTTGTTGTAATGGCTCAGAAACACAAAAATGGCATACTATTATTATATATAAGATTATTATTTAAAATAAAAAAATTAAATATTATTATATTAATATACTCTATATTTTAAATGTGCTATGCAAACCTCAGGGGTGACCTCGAGAAAGTTTGGGTGAGATTGCCATGATTTCTGTGACTGTGGGGGGAGGAGGGACTCCAAGATGTTGTTGATGTTGACTGGGAAGCTTTCAGTGCTCGCTAATGGTTGCTTGACGTGGCTGAAGGGAATATTGTCAGAAAGAATTTTCATGATCTGAGCGTTCTCCAGTGTGGCCAGCTCAGGGGAAGAGCTGTTCGGTGTCCTGTGGGATAAATGCCAATACATATTATGAACCTTCTAGTTGCACATTGAACATTTTTTTTTAAATGGTACTCAATCCTTAATGCTATTTACACAAGGGCATCTGTTACCTATCTAAACAATGATGACAAAAAAGTGTTAAAGTCAATAAAAGCTTTGCTAAATCTCTGCATTGTTTATGGAGCTTTCTTTTCATGAAAAGCAAAGCCAAACACTCTGGGCGGGAGCTGTTTGCTACCTAACGCTGATTTTTTTTTCACTGTTTGAGTTTCTCGGCTGGGTTTGACATCGGGGAGACCAACAACAAGCTCTATAGGCAGCTATTTTTCACTTGCACAAAAGGGTGCTGTGTAGTGACTCAGTCGTTTTTGGGATGGGTTGAAGAAAAGGATTAACAGCTGAACCAGCTCTGACCTCAGATAATCTTTGGCTAAATTACTCAACCTAGAAATATAGTACTGGATGGAGAAAATGTGACATTTAAATCTGGATGACTTACTGTTTTGACATATGTTCATCTTGCCTTCTGTCTGATACTATATACTGACAGTACTTTACTGTATGCTTAGTATTGTAAGCAGTTTGATTCATAAATCATAATCAAACTTACCTCTCCTCTCTGGATTTGTACATGCTGCTACCACGGGTACATGTCATCATCGGCTCTTTTGAGGTCTGAAAAAAATATTCAAAATGTAACTTTTGTATATAATACAAATTGAATAATGATTAAAAAATAATAATAATAATAATTACCTTGCAGGTATCATAGAAGATGTCAATAGCCAGGTCTTCGTCTGACTGAAGTCTGGGTTTAGTCTTGCTGATGTCGTCCTCGTAAGGCCAAGAGTCCATCGCGTAATTGTCTGAATAGCGCAAGTAGTTGAAACTCTCGTTCTGTTGTACCATGAGAGCCCTAGGGGAAAGACGAATGAGATATTAGCACAGATACAACATCAAGCATTCCCAAGAACTGCAACATGTGATTTTGCAAATGTCGGTAATGTGATGTATGGCAAAATGATTTAATAACAGCTTTAAAGGCCACAAAAATGTGCCTCTGGTGCACATACGATGCTCAGTGACAAAATTTAATGAAGTGAACCCTTCAGACTTCAAGCCAATATAATGCTCAGGAAAACCTCCCTAATCACATCATTTCAGGCAAAAAATAGAAAAATGGTGGCAAACATCTGACTTTCTCTTCTCATATATACTCTGAAGGGCAAAAACTCTTGAAACAGATCAACGGTCAAGCAAAGCCTAAGTGAAGGAACTTAATTTTAACTTAACACAAGCACCACAAACAAAAGACAAGGATTTGAAGAACTCCTCAAACAGTTAGATTTGTTTTGGGACTTTCCCGAACTTAGCAATGAGGTGGTCTGCTTTGATAAGCTAAAATGCAAACAGAGCTGTTTAGGCACCTGTGCTCACACTTAATGAATGAGCATTTTTGGTTCATTTCTTTAAACAAAAAAAAAACTGGAAAAAAGAATAAAACTGCATAGAATTTTAAATCCCTGTTATACCCCTATTGACTAATTCTAGGCACCTGCATGTTGACATAGACCCCAACCTCTAACACATTAGCACAAGACTGATGTGTTTCTGTTTTTGTGCACTCGGGACCTTAGGACAGTTACACCAGGCTGTCTGTGAGTGTAAGAGACCGAGAATGTGTGTTTGGGTCCTGGTGTCAATTTTCTGCAGAAATTATCTTCATGCACTCATTCATGTGGGGGCCCGTTCACACGTGAGCAGAGGGAGAGTGGGAGAAGAGAAGACATTACTCAAGAGGAAGAGACAGCTCAGAGCGGTGAAACTGCAAACTATAGCGCAACCCACAAAGAAATCAGATGAATCATAAGAAACGACATGCATTCGTTAGTCCTGTATTAACAGCTCATTTGAGAATGTCTAGACAGTTGCTGATAATATATTAAATATAAAAATATATATATACCCTAAATAAAACAAATAGGATTTCTTTATTTTAAAAAAGGTATGTGTTCAACACAGCCAAGCAAAAAAGAAAGAAAGACAAAATACCATTGTAAAATCTAATGGAAATAAATTTAACAAATAATGACTTACTCAATCTCCTTGGTCATGACTCCTCTGACAGGCAGTGGTGATACAATCCTTAGTTTGTTATATTGTCTCTTCTCCCAGATGTGTTTGTACGTCTGGTTGAATGTGTGTCTATGTGTTCATATCCTGATAAATGAGGTGGTTTGATTTGTAACCACATCATCTCTCCATTTATCCACCTAGCAGGTTGCCTTCTTTGCTCTGATTGGCTGCTAGCCTGAGACAGGTGTGTGATAGGACAGGTGTATCCTCCCTTAACTCTCTCAGTGCTGGAGAGAAACTTCAGCATGTGTGTAAGTGTGTTTTGAGTGGGGTGGGGTGGGATGGTGGGATGGGGTGATGGGGGGGGGGGGGTCTAACTCATTAACACCTCATATAAAAGACTGAGAGTCTGCAGCCACAGGTGTGAAATGCATCTTATTTGGGATCAGAAACCAAAGGCTCAGGTGAAAGAACGTGGTTTTAACATGCAAATTAAAGGTTGTGTCATTCACTCAATATCCAATAGAATGAAAGAGGGAGGTTTTGGCTGCATGGTTTTTATGGCCTTTTCCAATTAATTGAAATTATTTTTTATTTTGCTTTATTTTATATTTTACTGTATTCTTTTTACATAGTCATAATGTAGTCATGATGAAGTCATAATTATTTACGTGCATTTAATTACTCTCCCATTACACACCAAACTTTCCCAAAACAATTATGATTTGTGTATCATGCTTAATTCTTGATAATTTATTTCTAATGCAAGTTGCAAAGGAAATATTTTTTTCCTTCAAAACATTTACTACAAGGTCTTAATGCATAATTTGCAGATACAAATTCTGGCATGTCAGAATGATGTCAAATATGCATCTGCATCTCAGACGGTAACTGATGCAAACAGATAACGATTTTACCTTTTAAAATCTCTAACATTTTTATTTTGCGTTTGAAATTTTTGTCTTATTTTGACATCATTTTTGACATTTGTCTTAATTGGAATAATGATAGTTTTGGTATATTTTATACACTAGACTAATTTTATTTATTTAAGGTTAATGAGCAGGATAAGATGTGGACAATATTTTCAGTCTTTGCATATTATCTTTATGCATAAATAAACTGCAGCCGTGTTTATTTATGTTTGTCTATTAATCTTAGTTTTGTTAAGACCTAAAGGTATCTAGCATTGTGTCACACAGGGTGCGTGCTCTGCGGTCTGCCTGCACACACACCCACACAGTTTCACACACGCACACACATCAGACCCCTCAGGCATCTTGAAGTCAAACAAAAAAAAAATGTACAGAAGACATAGATTATAAGATGCAAGGAAGGAAGTCAGGAATGCTGATAACTCTTTAGTGGTTTACAGTAAATGACTGTGAGTTCCTGGACACACATGCAATTTTCATATAATTCATATACTTTAAAAAGATGTGATTATATGGTGTAGTAACTTGCCATTTGCATTTGAAAACCAACTATGCAAATACAGTGCATATCACATACTGTATATACCAGATTATAATAAAAATTTTGCATATTTTATGTCTGTTAATTTACAGTTTGTCACTAATAGCAAGAATCATTATGTCAGAAACATACAGTATTTATCTTAATTCTATACTGTCAAACTAAAATACATCTCATCATAAAATACATCTTATCCCAAAATTCCATCTTATTCACAATTGTGTTTCTAAAGGTTCAAGTGAAAACTTTGCCATCCTGATTCCTATATTTCTATAGTTAAAGCAGCAGGTGTGAACAGCCACGTTGAGATCCGTTGTGTTCTGCTGGAAGTGTCAATGTAAAGGGAAAGAGCCCTTAGATTGAGAAGCTTTTCTAAAGGGATCATTTCACACCTAGAAACCATGCAACAACAAAAAAAACAGAAACCTGAGTAAATGCTCCATCACTGAGGCATTTGTAAGAGAAAGCAGGAGATAGTAAAAGAAAAAGAAGGGAAATGATTATAAGAAGTATCCTCGGATCTAAGGCCCCGTTTTCACCTGGTATTAAATTTGGTCGATCGGATCACAAGTGGACGACACTAAACACGGGTATAAATGGGGTCTAAAACGTTTTGAGCTTTTTAAGAACTTTTAAAGGTAGTCTTAGTCTTTTCTGTCATCTCCGGGTGCGTTCAAGTAAATTGCACAAGCTTATTTTGTCCATTATCTGAGATCTGAGAAAGAAAAAAAAACATGCACCCGCCCATAGACCCTTGAAGAAATCAGAAAAGAAGTGGTCGAAAGTGGACAAAAGAGACAGATTAAAACACCAGGTGTCAACAGGTATGTGTTTCCCTCGTCTGCTTGTGATGTGATCCACCAAAACGCATCTTAATACCAGGTGTAAACAGGTCCTAAGAGGCCACGAGAGGGTCACTATCACACTTTTCGTGGTTTCTATTGTGATTCTCTCAAGGTGTAACAAAAATAGCAATCACTCCATTTTTCCTCAATCCTAAAGTGAAACAGCTTTAAATCCATTTTAAAATCAATGTATAAATGAACATGAACCATCACTATTTACATAATAGTTCTGAGTATTCTGATTTCTCTGGATCTGGAATGTGAATATAATGAAAATATAAAGTGTGGCTCAAAAGTCCAGTGAAAAGGCTTCTACTTTGCATCTTGTAATTATATACACATTCTCCAATACAAATTATATGATGTCCTTCGGCATGACTTGAGATTATCCAAAAAAACATCTGCCTGACTGTACAAAGAGTCACATGATCAATATCACAAATTTACTTGTGCAAATTAGATTTTAAATGAGATGTTTGCACTCCACTATATGATATTTCATCTTCATTTTTCACATGATCTGTTCATCACCTGAGCTAATAATCAAAATCAGAGTGTCAGCGTTTGTGGTTTGCAAACGGTGTTGCAGAGTATTGGGTGAAATCAGTTTAAATCTGTGAGAACAAGATGATGTGCACCTGTTCATGCATTGCTTCTCTCTCATCACACGCTGATCTGCACCAGCATTATATGAACTAATATGGCTTGTTTTACCTATTAAATGAGAAGGATAACAATATAGAAATGTAGTCCAAACAGCGGAATCCACCACAATAAAAAAAAAAAAAAAAAAAAACTTTACATGTTTATTTTTATAAACGCATTTACTCTTTGTAAATTTGGTACCGCAGCACTATTCTCACGTGTAAATTACTTAGTAAATGCATATAATGTAAATGTGATCTGAAAGCTTTGATCTGATTTTTGTTTAAAAATGCTCTCAAGTTCCTTTGGTGAAAAAGGGTTGTCTATTTAATCTCAAACGTTCAACAAAACCACAACGAAATACCAGTTGAGATTTGTTTGAGGGAAGAAATGATTTTATGATCGGAAAGATTCGGCTCAATTGTGATTGCACATTTAAACTTCCTCTTAGTCCAAAATCAAATATGACCCAATGAAACTGCCAGATGTTGCCCAAGATGTGCTGAAAATGTATGCCTCAGATCACTCTGCATCATTCATGAAGGATCAGGACACACACACAAACACACACACACACACACATATTGTAATGGTAAAAAAGAGGTGTGGCCTGTAATATCTGTCAGTCAGATCTAGTTTCATTCACACACACACACACACACGCGCACACACACACACACACACACACACACACACACACACACACACGTTGGGTTTTCATGAGGTTTTATTCCATAGACATAATGATTTTTATTCTCTACAAACTGTATATTCTATCCCCTAACCCTGAACCCATCACAGAAAACGTTCTCTATTTTTACATGTTCAAAAATGACCAAAAATGCCTCCACAAGGATAAGGATTACGGATATTGCCATCTTTGGACATTTTGTTCTCATAAAGTATAGGGTTTACCACACACACACACACACACACACACACAATCACACAATCGGAAGTTTCTTACAGTCACACTACAATCTTCTTCACGTTTCTCCTCAGGCTACACTGTGACTGTTGTAACTGAAGGATGCTGAGTATTAAAACATACCTGCACAGATACAATTGTCTCATATCTCCTTGCAGGGATTGTAACAGAAGAACAGAAATGTAACACATAGTGTCAATAGCAGTTTCTTGAACCGACAAAGATGAAATACACATCAGGAAAGCGGATTTGTACCTTTATGTAAAACAATGAGTTTATCAGTTTGGTAAATATTGTGTAAATGGTGTTAATAAATCTGTAATAATGTGCTTATTCAATTAAGGGGAATGTTTAGGGTGATTTTAAATAAAGAAAAAATAAGGGGCTTTGCTTTTTTTTAAGGAAATCATTCTTAGATAATATATTATCATAACCTTAAACTCTTTATTGTGTGTTTTTTTCTAGTTTTAAAATGTTGAAATGCTAAACTCTGCCAGGATTTCTCTATTTTGGGCTACCCAAACATTCCCTCTAATTCATTAGTTAAGTTATTTACTATTAACAAAGTTATTCGTTTAACATCAGGGGAGGTTAAAAGTTTAAGTATTTTTCAGTTAACTGTCACGTAAGTGTACAATCTGAAGTTTAAAAAAACTAAGAATCATTGTTCCCAATACTGCTGTCATGCCAAGCATTTTACAAAACAATTCACAAAACAGTTTTCCAAAAAATGATAGAAAAGAACATCCGAAATGGCATTAATTGAGATTAAATTAGTTTTTTTTTTTTTATATATAATCAGAGAACAGCTTTATTACACCAAACTGCTACAGAAAACATTTTCTAAATTCAATGTTAATTGACATGCTAAAAATATGTTAAAACAAACGCTATCATACATTATAACAAAATTCACTTTTAGATTAGCCAAGGCCATGATCAAACCTTTAGACCAGGACATGTGATTGTTTTAACAGATGAAGATTAAATAAATCCGTCCAAATCTGACTCAGTCTTCATCATCTTGTCATTTCTTGAAACTAAATCTTTTGAAAATAAAAGATTTAAAGAGTCACAGAGTGTGTTTTACAGCAGCACACACACACACACACACACACACACACAAGTTGGGTTGTCATGTTTTATGGAGACATTCCATAGACATACGGATTTTTATACTGTACAAACTGTACAGTAAGCGGTTTTCCCCAAGGGGACAAAAAAGAATTTGGGATATTGGCATCTTTGTGGGGGCATTTTGTCCCCATAACTTAG